GTTGAACGAGGGCCTGCTGACCGAGATTTCTGTGTTTTTTAAGTCCTGTGAGAGGTAGAGGGCTGCAGCATGTGACCAGTAAATGCTTCTGGAAGAGGAAAAAAAATAGCTATACACCATACTGTACTCCCTCAAGCTTTCAGATAGGTGATTTTAGGGTATGTTTGGTGGTTCTTTATGTGTAAATCTGCCTGTGCAGTTCAGACAGCAGTCACGGGATGGAAAAAGAAGTATTTGGAAAGACAGCCTAGAAGTCATTTTATGCCATCTAAATATGTGATCTACTCAACTGCAGAGTCTCTGCTGCTCTGGGTTCCATTTAAAGTCTACTGAGACACTTGTATTTCGGTGAGAGTAAAAGATGGAAGGGGTGAAAAGTTCATCTCCCATTTTAGCTTGCAGACACACAGGCGAAGAAGCATCAGGACCTGCAGGTGCAGCCTAGATTTTGGGTTCTGCTGCATGCAAGCATTTAAAAATTTAATTATTTGGTCATTGAACATGAAATCTGCTGTATTCCTTGAGAATAAAGTGAAGGGGCAGTCTCCAAAGTAATCCTATGAGTTACACCAGGAAATGACCAGACTCTGAACTTTTATGTAGGAACACTGGCAACCCAGTAGAATCCTCTGTACTGTAGGAAGAAAAGAAGTATAATGTCTTAAATTAAGTGTTATGAATATAACTGGCGGGTTTGCTTTATTTAGATTTTCCTCTAAGTTTAATAAACAACTTTGAAGCATTCAGTAAGACCCAGAAAATATGCAAGAGAAGTACAACTAATCCCATTAAATGTAAAATAGCATCTAAGTGGAAAGTTTTTGATTTTGGACTCCTGCTGATAAGAAACAGAAGAGATGTTTGAGGAAGCTTTGGAAATAGGTAGTAGATGACATTTATCCTTGATCTGAAATGCCTAAACATTGTTAGTACAGCTGAACTGTGACCTTCCAGCCTGCCAATCCAGATAAACACACATGTTATCAGGTAAATCACGCAGAAGAGAAATTTCCTGAGGAGACTGGTGAAGCCCCACTGGTAGGAAATGATGGCTATTAACTCATTAGGTTCTGTCTGTCTCTGTCTTTTTTTGTATGTGAGCTCTCCACACAGCTCTAGGGATAATTAGCTTCCTTTGGCTTAGTGAGTATTAAGGAAAATTTTAAAATGCTTAGTTTGTATGGACAACAAACATATTTGGGGTCTGGGAGAAAACCACACAGAAAGGGAAGCAAAGCCCCACAGTCTGACAGAACCCTGATTCCCGGGGTGGGTGTGATGGGTTTGTCATGTTTGGATACATGATGTCAGATGGTTTTGTGGCAAATGTTACTGACTTCATCTGGGGAGTGGATTTGTCCAGGCAGAACCAGATTAAAGGGTCAGTATCCTGCTCTGAATTAGATTTCAGTGATGCAGATGTGTTTGTGCACCCCATTAGTCTGGCAAGAGGTTTCATGCAGGAGATGCTGTACCTTAGGGATACCCTGGGTTCTTGCACTTTGCTGTGTTTGTGTGGGAAAATGGGTAACATAAAGTCACTGTCATTGCCTTACATCTTGTGTCCAACCTAATAAGTTGATTAGAGGGATGGAGAGCTCTCCTGTGAGGAAAGCCTGAGAGAGTTGGGATTGCTCAGCCTGGAGAAGGTTTGGGGTGATGTAATTGCAGCTTTCCAGTGCCTGAAGGGAGCTGAGAGGGAAGATGGAGAGGGACTATTTGCAAGGGCCTGGAGTGACAGGACGAGGAGGAATGGCTTCCCACTGCCAGAGGGCAGGGTTAGATGGGATATTAGAAAGAAATTGTTCCCTGTGAGGGTGGGGAGGCCCTGGCACAGGTTGCCCAGAGAAGCTGTGGCTGCCCCATCCCTGGAAGTGTCCAAGGCCAGGTTGGACAGGGCTTGGAGCAACCTGGGCTAGTGGAAGGTGTCCCTGCCCATGGCAGGGGGTTGGAACAGGATGATCTTTAAGATCCAGTCGATTCCATGATTCTGTGATTCTGTGCTCACATAAAAATGGCACAGCCACACCCTGTGTCATTTCAGCTGTGCTGAGGTGGCCCTGCAGTCCATAGAGTCTTGTCACTCTGTACTCTTCAAAGTAATTTTTCTGCTATTCACTGCTACAGGGTTCTCCCCAACTAGAGCAAGGGTGGAGTCAAACATGGTTTGAGGTCACCTTCAGCTCTCTTTTTCCTGCCAGGAACAGAAAAAGAGCATTGGGTCTGGGCCAGTGTTGTTTAGAATGAATGTTCTATGGGCTTGTTGGGAAAAAAGAAAGGATTTATTTGTCAAATAGGGCTTAATTTATTAGGCACAATATGAAAGCTCACATTTTTGTATTGCTGTAGAAAGCCAATTGATTAATAATTTGGAAAAAGGCCAAGACACACAAAATCACCTTTGTAATTCATCATCTCAGAGAAACAAAAGTGATATAAATTGTACCTGAGCAAAACAATTTATTAAGCAGGAATGAAAGCTGGTTCATATTAACGCATTTATAATGAAAGTACTTTCTAGGACACTGCTGTTACTAAGAGGAAACATGAAATCTGAAGTTGACAGTTAAGGCTGTAAGAAATTCACAGAAAACTACAACTAATAAAATAGAGGAACTTTCACATTATTAATAACTTCAAAAATATATTTGAGACTAGACAGGTTAAGGTCACTAAAACAACTTCAGCTCTTCCTGGAAAGGACATAAGCTCAAAGTTAAAGCTTCTTCATCCTTGAATACGATATTAGGGGGAAAAGAAATGTACAGTCTCTTCTTGAATAAATATCACATTGTAAAACAGTCGTGTCACCACCGTGTGCTGTGGAGGTTCAAAGATGCCAAAGATTCCATGTGCCAAACCTGTTACATAGATGGTCTCAGAGATAGTTCCAATATGTTGTGTATACACATTTCTTTGGCTCTGTAACTTTGGACATCCTGTGCGAGTACAGAAAAGCTTAAAAAAGGAATCATGCTTCCCAGACGTGTTTATTTTGCTGCCAGGCAGGAGAAAGGTTGTCAAGCAGCAGAATATGCTTTTTTTTAGCTTTTGAACCAGGAGACTCTTGTCTGCATGCACAACACAGTTTTTTTCATAAAATAAAAACTGTACAAACAGTGTTACAGGAGATGAAGAATCATTAGAGAATAAGAAATAGAGGAGATACTCTTCATTTCATGAAATAGCTGCTAAAACAAATACAATATTCTTCATTACTGCTACAGGGGTACAGAGCAGCCAGTAGCTGATGTTTACTGGCAAAACCTTGGAGATCTCCCTCTAGATTGTCTGTTTTGTTTTCCTGCCCTCTTTTACCAGCAGGAGACATTTCTTCTTCTTTCAGTGCCCTTCCCTCCTTTTCCAAGGGAATGGAGTCCCTCTCAAATGGCTTTCCAACCCATCCTTGTATCAGCACAGTTCCCACCTCCTTCCTTACCCCAAACATCTTTACCTCTTCAACTGGACAGCTCTGATTCATGATGCTGAGACTTAATCAATGGTATTGGGATTTTTTGTGTGCTATTGCAAGGGTTTGTGTGTGACTGGGAGTGTTACAAGTGTGAGAGGTCCTGTGTTTTAATACTGCATTTTTAGGGTGTAGATAAGAATATTTTCATCTGATTTGAGGGCTTTAGCATCAGTGCATAAACATTGAGCCTTCCCCTGATTAGAGTCCTTTAAACACTTAAAATGATATATTAAAATAGCTGTGCCGTTCCTATTCAAAATTGGGAGTTACATAAATTACAACAAGCTTTCAAAGTTTCAGAGAAAAGAAAACAACCGGGTTTTAAGAATTTCTCTCATGGAAGAACCTGATTTTGTTGCAATTCACTATGCTAGAAAATTGTCCTTGTCAGAGCAACATACGCAAACATTTTAATCCGATTAGCTCAATCTAATCAAAATCATGGAAATAAAATTAAAACTTGCTTCATAGTGCAAAACTGAATCTGGGGAAAGAACTTTATATTGGCCTCTATAAAATGCTGTGATCTGTAAAAAATATCAGGATAAGCTATGAAGAGCATGGATATTTCTGAGACCAGATTGTGCACCCTGATGGAAGGAGTCCTGCAGTATCTCTGCCCAGGCAGTTCAGTTCCCTCCTGGTTTTGCTCTAGGGCCATGTCTGCTGCTCAGCCACATTGCACACACACAGACACAAACATGTGCTACTTGGCCTCAGGTTCCTCTCAGGGATGCACCAGCTCAGAATCACAGGATGGGTCAGGTTGGAAGGGACCGCAGTGGGTCATCTGGTTCCACCTCCCTGCTCAAGCAGGGTCATCCCAGAGCACATGGCACAGGATTGCATCCAGAATATCACCAGTGAGGGAGACTCCACACCCTCTCTGGGCGATCTGTTCCAGTGTGTGGTCACTCACACACTAAAGAAGTTCTTCCTCGTGTTCAGGAGGAACTTCTTGAGCATCAGTTTTTGTTACCTCTTGTCCTGTTGCTCAGCACCAAGCAGAGCCTGGGTCCATCCTCTGACACCATCCCTTCAGACACTCTTTTCCTCCATGAGGAATCCTGGACACAGCTGAGAGGATGGTTTGCTAAAATACCCCAAATGGATGTGCATAATGCCAAGGCTGCCCTGGACACTCTTCTAACCCTGTCCCAGAAGACTTGACACTCTTTGCCATGCAACACACATGCTTGTGTTTCCTGCCTTAAAACATCACAGTGGGCTGCATCTGTAGCTATCTCTTATTTCACATACTTCAAATTCAAAAGAAGAATGAAGAACAACTGTGTTTCAAGGCACAAGAGTCCAGAGCCTCCTGGGCCCAGCAGAGCACTGAGTGAGTCAGTGTGTGCTAACACTGAGCAGCCTGGGCAAGAATCAGTGGGTAACCCCCAGATGAGCAGCCAGGCAACCAGGAGTCACTGTGGGCTGAAGCCAGAGCTTTCAAAGGGGAAGCTGATGCTCACTGAGGGCTTGTATTTAATGATGCTTTAAGCCTTTCTTGCTGTTTTGACTTTTTCAGAACCTGAGGCGGGAGAGGTGTCCCCCCCAGTGGGAGCTGGTGTGAACAGCAACAGCTGGACCTTTAAATTTGGACCGGGCAATTCCAAACAAGGTGGTCCTGGTGAGTTGCCAGACAAATTCATTATCCCGGGATCTCCTGCAATCATCTCCATCCGGCAGGAGCCACCAAACAGCCAAATTGACAAAAGTGACTTCATAACCTTTGGCAAGAAGGAAGAGACCAAGAAAAAGAAGAAAAAGAAGAAGGGAAACAAGACTCAGGAGAAAAAAGAAAAGGGCAACAGCACCACTGAGAACAGTGACCAGTGAGGGGGTTATACTGAAAGAACCCACTTAGCCAGTTTTTGTAATAATGGCAGATTTCTCCTATGTAGCAACTCCCAACTTCTTCCTACTGTTAAAAAATTTCCTGTATGTACAGACTTGAGAAAATCAGCAGGAAATTCAGTGTCTGTCTAAATTGCTTAACAGGTTTTGTCTTAAAAGCTTTATTAAGTCTGGTGTTAACTCTTTTTCTCCACTCTGGCTTGTTTTCAGAATCTAAAAAGCAGACACAAGTTTCCTTTCTCCTACGCCGAAAAGGAGAATCTTCACAGTACAGCCAGTGAGAGGTTGGACTCTGCACTGTGGTTCCTGTGCTCCTGTCTTGATGACACTTACAGGACAGGTTTAAAAGTTTTAATGTTGTGCACCCTCTATCTGATTGGAAATCTTTGTGTGCAGATGTCAGTTAGGTGATACGAGATCAGATTATAAAACGCAAGAAGAGCTGGTAAATATGCAGCAGAGGAAACACCTAATGAACACAAATGTTCAAAGATGTTCAGGCTGGGGAGAAAATACCTGAAAGGAGATGAGCAGACTTGTCAAATCTGGAGAAGTCACTGTGTGGAAGTACTGAGTCCTATACATGACGTATTGTACACACTGCTTTAAATGAAACCTCACATTTACAGCTCTCTAAGATACCATAAATTGTATCTATTTACCAAGCAAGCCATTGGGAAAATTGTCCCTTAAAGCCCTGCATTACCCTGGCAAGACCAGCCCTCAGAGTGTAAGAAGGGCTGGGCTGACATCCCAGGAATGTAACTGTGATGCTCTGTGTCCCTATTTCCACTCTAACATTATTTTGCACATTATGTCTCTGAAAAAGTCAGAGTTTTTCCACGACACTTATGCAAAAGAGAGAAAAAAGAAACGTTAACTATGCTATTTGTTATTTGAGATATTTATTTATAAAGAAATATAGCTGTAAATGTCAAAGAAATATGATGCCCTTTAACCCAAACAGAAGTCAATCTAGAGCCATTATAAATTACAATTGCTGCTATTAAAGTGCTTTAGAAAAATTGCCTGAAACATCTGTATTATATCGGCCACTTGCCAATAACAGCTTTATTCTGTCGGGTGACTTGAGGGCTGCCTCTTGCATGTATTAATAAATACAAGAATATCTTCTCTTTTTTTTTTTTTTTCATTAATCTGCACTTTGAATACACCTTTGCAAACAAACTGTCCTAATATGAAGAAGCAGAAGCAAACTCCTCACACAAATGGATTTATTAACCTGCTAGCTCTGTGCAGTACCTTGGTGTTACCTCCCACACAACCTTTTCTGATTTTAGTTCAACTTTTCTATGAGATTATGAACTTCTGACCCTACTAACACCCCCTATGTAAAATTCAAGTACTGTATGTATGCTGTATGCTCTTATAAGAATCCTGAAATATTTATTCTGTGCTTGTGTATGTGAATGTCAATGCAACTATTATTAGAGTGGACTTTAAGCTTTACCGTTGAATGTAAATTCATTATTTCTTTTTTGTACACTTGTGAAAAAGTGCAGTAGTGTTAATTTTTTTTAAGCCACTGTTGATTATCAGTTCTTTTGTGTATGAAACACAAGTAAAATATCTTTCTTAAACCAAGCCATGCATGCATTTTGGGATTTATTGGTAAGAATCTGTGAAGCTGAAGTTCTGTGAATTAAACCTGAGGGTATAAATGGAGTGTTGAATGTGGCTGAGGATGTTGATATAAAACCAATACATGTATTTTTAAATAGAATATGGCTGATGAGGGAATTCCAAGGAGTTTTCTACATTATTGTACATTCACAGAATAAAGCTCAAGTGTCGTGTTAATTGGAACTGTGTAAGAAACTACATAGCTCTGAAATTTCCAACAGGCCCTTTAATCTAGGATCAAAGAGAACAACTGGATTTCTTGAGACATGTCCTGGATGTTTTAAGTTTCCAAACTGCTGACAGTTCAGAATAGAACAATTCCTATTCATTTTTAAGAACCTGCAGCAAGTCTTAAAACATCACAGAAAAGCTCTAATAAAAGAATTCATATCTCAAAGCATGAACCACCAATGGCCTCATGTGGTCTATTTAGAGTTTTCTTTTGCTACCAGTCTTGTTTTACTGACAATAAAAAGGTGCTACTTGTGAAAGAGAATCCTTGATTCACTTCTAAAGGCTAGACAAGAGGGAAAAAATTAAGCTTTGGGGAGGGAACTGTTCCTTTATGCAAATGTGCTATGCAAGTACATTTAGATGTACTTTTTTTTATTTGGTGACTAATCCAAGAGCTCCCAAAACGTTCATCAGCTGGAGTTACAGTGGTAACTTAAACACACAGAAGGATACAGTTGTTTTATACCCATCATAAAGTCGTTCTCTCAACGCCTCTGGCAAAAATCCAGCACAAGGATTTAATTCTTACAGGAATCTTTAACATTTGATTATTTTTAGATTTTAATTGAGTGTTTGTTCTTCTTTTGAGTGCTTGCATTTTCCCCTCTGCGAGCCGATCCAATTCATTCATTTTTCATCATTTTCCAAGGCTTGCATCTATCAGAGTGAACCAAGAGATGCACTATGTCTCCAATTTGCTGGTTTGAACACAAAATTACATTTGCCAGTGCTGCCTTTGATGCAGGTGCTTACTGCAGGGGGACTGTATGCCTTGGAAGACAAGAGCAGAATATCTGAAGATAATAATTCCAGTATGGAGAGCTGATAGAGCAGAGAAAAAAAACTCTCAGAGGAGAGAAGAGGCTCTTGCTGGAATTGTTTAAAAAGAGGCTGGATTGCACTAGTAGGATATACATTCCACAGATTCACTGTGTTTTCAGAAGACTGAATCAGGCACCTCACCAGATCTTTAAAAGATTTTTCCTTATTTTCCTTATCTGGTGCAACTGGAATGCTGAGGTGTCTGCAGTGAAATTTGGCTATTTCATAACTAATATATAAATCATACCAATTACATCCTTGATTTTGGTTGTCCAGGAGGAGGATAAACCCTTGGCATGAAGTGTGTGTGGAGAACCAGGGGTGGGTGGGGGTGGAATTTGCACATTCCGCCACAGTTTTAGGGGTTACTGTTTGAACACCACACAGCAATGGGAACTGAGAACCAGAGGTGGCCAAGACCTTCACAAATTAAGAAGCAAAAGTTTAGTTTATCCTCCTGCTGACAATGAAATGGGCAAGACAAAATACACTGCAGAGTTTGTTAACAAAGAAATTACAATTGTGGGGCGTTTACTACTTGAACAGTTTATTTCTCTCAGAGTTCACATATGCTTTCTGTGAGCATATTGACCTTGGAAGTCTGGCTTCTGTGCACACAAGATCAGTGGTCAAAACTATTGGGCTTTTATAACAATAAACCTGAACTATGTTGTATATTAATAACATCCTGTCATTAAAAAGAAATCTCATTTTACATTAGGCTTCTAAGGCTTAATCTTGTGCAGTTTCTTTCTGCTCAGTACTTGGGTCATTGCACATCACAGGAGGGGATCCAACTGAAGTTTTCCAATCATCTTACATAAGGGGAAGAACACAGAACCCAAAGTACGTTTCCCAAATTTCATATATGAAAATAAATTATGAAATAATTTTCAGACAGTTTTGATACCTTTTCGGATCATCTTTATTTCCCCTTCTTCCTTCACTCATTTGATGTTTTTCAACAATCACTTGTGTCAACAGCTGGGTAAAATAAACCACGTACAATTATTCTTCCTTTTCCAATTCTCCCCTAGCAGCAGTTTCATAGGTCTCATGTAAGACAGGGATTAAGGAAGGAGCTCATTTGAGTCCTAAAGAATGAGCAGGTTCCTCAGTTTTGCTGTTATTTGTTTGTTTGGAAACTACTGGCTGTTCCTGGACACAGACAGGTTTTTGAGACAGTGCCAAGAGTTCTGTTAAGGCTCCTGTAAATAAGCAGAAATATCACTTTGATAAAAAGTTGGGCTTTGGTGTGTAAATCTACACTGAACTCCTCTGGTTTGTTCTTTTACATCTCAAGGAGAAATGAGTGAACAGCTGATCAGTGTTTTGATGTCACACATAGCTTAATCTGCATGAAGCAAATAGAAACCCTGGAAAGTATAGGACAAGCTGAGGACTCCAAACACTGCATTAATAAATCATGGTTATGAAGGGCTTCATGTGGTGGCTGGAATCACATCAGGACCTGTGTGAGGCTCACAGATACCTGAGTGGCTGCTTGGCCACACCAAAGCTGAACAGACAGAGAATGCATGGCATAGCTATAATAAAATAAATGCTTTATCACATTTTACTGACCTTGAACAGCCTAAACCAGCATAGTATGAAATCAATATCGATAGCATGTACATTCATTTTCCATTAGCTCCTGATATGGGGATGCTGCACTTGCTACTCTCCTGGGTTCTTTCTCCTCTCAGTGGCTTCCACTCCTCCCTAGAGGATCCACTGACACTGCTCTGCATTTGCAGGTGTGTGTGCAAGCATTTTTTTAGAAAACCAACTGTATCCTGGGCTGCATCCAAAGCAGGATGACTGTCAGGTCAAGGGAAGGGATTCTGCCCCTCTGCCCCACTCAGGTGAGACCCCCCTGCAGAGCTGCTCCAGCTCAGGGTGTCCTGCACAAGAAGGACATGGAGCTATTGAAGAGAGTCCAGAGGACACACCAAGATGATCAGAGGGATGGAATAGCTCTGCTGTGAGGAAAGGCTGAGAGAGCTAGGATTGTTCAGCCTGGAAAAGAGAAGACCTAATTGTGGCATTGCAGTACCTGAGGAGAGCATACCAGAAAGGTCTAGAGAGACTATTTACAAGGACTTGGAGTGACAGGACAAGGGGAAATGAGTTCAAGCTGGAAGAGAGTAGGTTTAGATTAGATATTGGAAAGAAATTTTTCTTTGCTTGAGCCCAGGGTAATGAGGCCCTAGCACAGGTTGCCCAGAGAAGCTGTGGCTGCTCCATCCCTGGAAGTGTCCAAGGCCAGGTTGGATGGGGCTTGGAGCAATGTGGTCTAGTGGAAGGTGTCCCTGCCCATGGCAGAGGGTGGAACAAGATGGTCTTTAAGGTTCCTTCCAACCTAACCCATTCAGTGATTCTATATATAAAAATCTGGGACCCAGTTAAGGTGTACAGAATACTGCAACACATACTGTCAGTGGTAATGCTGCTTAGGTATTATGCAAATCTGATTTTTCAAAGTGATTCTACTGCAGGGACATTAGACACCTACTTCTAGAATATTTGTAGTTCAGGTGCCTCTGGCTGGCTTAAAGAACTAAAGAATGAAATCCTTCAGCGTGAAGTACCACAGAATTGTCTCTCTCACACGGTGAGAAGAACATATCTTACACTGCACCATGGATTCCCTTTCATATCCCAGTATTGCCTCCATGCAATCACTCTGACACAGGTATTAACATCAAAAGATGACAGTAAACATCTCTCAGAAGCCACACAGCTTGAAAATATTAAAAATGTTTGCTTGCCAGTGGTGCCCAGAGCTATGTCACTGTTGTCTGCAAAAAGACAGCAAGTGACTCATCCACATTTAAGAACTGATGTCTGGAGTATATTACAAAACAAACATGCTGGCCTTGAAAACTAGATTTTAAAACCAGGGCCCTGCCAAAGAGTTAGAAGTGCTAAGCTGGCCTTCATACTGAATAGAGCAGCCACAGGTCTGTTGTCCCACTCCTGAACCCCCTTGTTCCTTCATTATGGTGGGAGGACATGTATAAAGTGGGACAGGTCCTGAGGAGATAACCCCATTTATGTGTCATGAAGGAAATGTTATCCTACATGGCAATAAGGCACCTGTGGGGATTAGTGTTTGGTGAATGGTGACCATGTCGCCAGTGTGCCACCCCAGCAGGAGTCAGATCTGAATCTCTAATCAAGTGTGAGACCCTGAGGGGCTCCCTGTGGGCTCAGCAGTGGGTGGTGCATCAGTGCTGGGGCATTACACATGATATCAGGCTTCAGCACTGAGGTGGAATAACATTAGAGCTGGCCCTGGCAGCCCTGTTCCAGCTCCTTTGGCAATATTTTATGGACACTTGGAGTGTCTTGGCACCACTTGAGCTGCACTGAGGGGAATTAAAAAGTCCTTGCCCATTAATTATGGGAATGGCGCCGCACAAGAAGCTTGACAAGACATAGTAATTGTTAAAACACATCAATCACAGCCACTCTAGACTTTTAATTCTGCAATAGTTTTCCTGTTAGATAAACCCTTAAGCTTCTCTGTGACTCACAATTCCGTTCAGTGCAGCCTCAATGGGAGCAATGTGTGTGTTTCTGGGGAAAGCTAGACCAAAAATGTGTGTAGATGCAACCCTCTGTCCTGAGACCCCAGTGTATCACAGCCCTCCTCCAGCAAGGCATGAATCACTCCCTACCTTGAACAACTTCCTTCTGTAGGTGTTTAAAGAAGCCCACCTGAAGTCTCTCAGGCATGAAATGGTGAGCTGAGCAAATCCACATCAAATCAATTCTGTACACTGGGACTTAAGGCCTTTCAGACATCCCCACACCTACCCCCAAATTATCTACACCATCAAAGCCTTTACTGACTAGTGTCCTACCTTCCTCTTCATCACCTGTGGTGCAAGCAGCCTTAGGCTCAGTGAGGGCCCAGGATCTCATTCCATGGGCTGGCACAAGAGGCTCAGGACCTGCCTAGAGCAGCTTTGCCAACCTGGCTCTTCCCAGGCACTGTGAACCCCAACTGTGAGCGGCTTCATCCGTCACCAGGACCGCATGGTGAGAGGATGAAGGGGCTTAACTTTGCTGAACTTACTCTCACCTCCCCACCTCCAGTGTGGAAATTACCTGAGGTGCATGTTAGATAAGGGACAAGCCTAAAATAATGAAAAAATCTAGCCTAAAATCTGCTTGTCTTCTTAGATGCTTAAAAGGGGATTACACAACATTTAGGTACCGACATTTGAGGAAATGATCCACAAAGCTCCTGATGGGTGTTTACACAATAAAGAGGATCTACCTAACCCCAAGGGTGTGTAAATTGTGTTAGTCCAGCTACTTGTAGACTCAGAAGGTTCTTTGTAGGAATTTAAGCTGCCACCAAGCATCACTAAAGCTACCTTGATCTTTCCAAAGCCACATGTAACAATCTCCTGTTAATCTACTT